GGGATTACTTTGAAGGAGATAAAATAGATATTCATGAATAAATAAATAATTTTTGAAAAAACACAAAATTCGCGATACTTTTTGAACAGACCTTGTATTGTATTTATGTTAACTCAACATTTTGTTTTGTATCAATATTCAATATCTTTAAATATTATAATAATATATTTTATACTTCAATATCGATTACTCTGCATTAATTACGTATTTTTTTTAATTTTATGTAATTTTGGAGATCATATTTGTTACTTCTCAACATATTCACCTTGTGTTAAATTAACACAAAAATTTAAGTAAACCGTGGAACATATGTAGTATGTTCAATTTAACACAAATTTTTTTAGTGCATGTAGATTGTAATATATTTTCCTTTTCTCTTGATTTATACACAATAGCAAATTTTGCAACTGTATATATAATTGTTTATTATGCTGTAATTTTTATTGCGTAACAAGACGTTTCAATGTACAAAAGAGTTTATGACAGATAAAATATTTATTAATACAAATATCCAAATTTATACAAAACTTCATTATATGCTATAACTGTAAATAAACATTAATATAATATATACAAAATTACTGACGTAATGTGTGTCAACTATCACATATTTATAATTTACGTCAATGTGAATAAAAATCATCTACTATTTCACAAACACGAAAAATTTTGAGTTATTAAAAATGGGTAATTACACAGAGGCTTCATTCACTCCTTGCATTACGATTTAAGTCGTGACGACACATGCCACAATCAATAACAAGGTCGCTCATGCGTTAACCTATGTAACTGTTGGGCCTTGCGTCGAAATTGTTATATTTATATATAACAATATATTTGCACGTGCGAATATGGCTAAGACTAACATGTAAGTGCAATGGAAAGGCATCTGCAAAAATTAAACCATGAGCCTAACTCGTGTTTCTTATATTTGACTCGAATTCTTTACCACGAGTCTTACACAATATTATAGGTTAAGGGGTTAATTAATAATTAATTAATAATTCCAAAATTTATGAGTTATTTGAAAAATAGTAAAGGATTTTTTTGTTCAGAATGGTTTAATCGATAAGTATATGATAGTTGTTGTACCTAGCAACAGATTAAAGGTTCGAGGTTTAATGTACTTCTGTTGTCGCTAAGTACAATGGCTATCACATACTTATAAATCAAATATATGATTTATATATGGTCATTTTCAATCATTAATAAACTCGAAATTCCGCGTGTTGTTTGTAAAATAGGATTTTTTATCAATATTAATCTAAACTAAAAGTATACAATGGTTAATACGTCTTGTGTCAAACACCATATATATGTGTATATTTTACATTATACATCATATATGTAAAAATACAGACATCATATAAAGTTCACCATATATATAGTTGTGTGTTCTATTTAACATTTCACTTTTCGCTATTCAATTAAACACTTTATATAAACAATCTTTTAATGGAAGTGCACAAAAATAAATTTATATATCATAATTAGATGTTAGTGTAATTAATTTATTCAATATTTCAATGCGTAAAAACGTATTTGCATGAAAGCTTGTCGAGATTAATATCATCAATTTATTTCTTTGTATTTCGTAAAAAGATTATATAACACGCGAAACGTAGACTTAAGATCTAATTTTACGATATCTGCAAAAAAACTGCATGTATAGAGATTTTTCTCATGACTTTTCACGGTTGAAAAACTATAAACCTTCAGGACGAGCTTTGGGTTTTGGTAGCCTGATGTCTCGCATAATGTCAAACGCGAACGAAACATTATGAACCATTCGATCAATGATCTGTGGTGTCAAATGAAAACTACCCAGTGGCACAGAAATCCCTTCCAAAAAACCAAGCAGCAGCATCAGGAAGATACCATCATGGTGAGTATCTAGATCAGTCACTTCCAAATAGATTTTGCTCAAGTGTTTATTTACAAATGTCACGATAACGACTGAAAGAACAGAAACAGATAGTATCATCAATGAAAGAAGGATGGTGAAAAATCGCAATTATAAAATCGTTTAAAGAACTCACATTCTTAACAACAATCAATTTATCAGGTGCGTGATCGAAAAGAGTATCAAATGCATCACGTTCACAACGCATACCTAAATCGTCATAAGTTGTTGTCACTTCTTCTCCTACTATTCTGTGTATCAGTTAACCTTCCTTCTTACGTATCATAATCACTTGAACAGAAATTTTCTCTGGTAATCTAATAGAAGCACGGAAAAGTCGGGCTAAGCTGATTAAAAGATGCAAGATTGTAACAATGTTTTTTTGTGTGTACAGATTCAACGCTCCACTTGTAAAGTGGATAACGGTCCAGTACGCGATTAGCGACAGATAAGACTACAGCAATGTTTCTGTCCTTCTTCTGATTGGCTTACTTTAGGTAAATCCAGTTTTTCTCCAGTTAGCTTCTCTGAAGTAAAAATAATATAAGTATATAAAATTTATCCCATTGGGAAAATCTACCTTGGGTAGAGTTGTCTTTCAAATTGCACACATTAATATACCTAAAAGTTATTGCAACACTTGTCCATCA